CGACAAATGTTACAAGGCCCTTTTCACTGCCCAATAGGTGCCCAGAGAAGCACCCCACTCCACCAGCAAGGCTCTTGAACAAAGGCACTCAGCTTTCTTGCTCCATGGGCCAGGAATCCCCTCTCTCTTATGCTGGTTTCTTAGTTCTGCTGCCACTGTTGCTCTCCTGCTGTTGCTTCTTTTTTTTAAATTGGGATTTGGGTGAAAATTTACAGAGCAAATTCACTTTCCATATAGCAGTTCACATACACTTTGTCTCATGACATTGACTACAATTTACCCCAATGAAACAGCTCCCCTCCTACTTCCTCCTGATAGTTACCTCTTCCCTGTGTCCATCCCTCCATGTACTCCTGCCCCCTGAACTGTCTCCCTGTGCATAAACAGCCCTTCTTTCTCCCATGATTGTTCTCTCCAAGGAGTGTATCCATCTCAGGTAAATGTTCAAGTCATATGCATGTCTTTGGTTTGGCTGGAAGCCACAGGTATGGATTCATTTACAAACCTGAAGGACAGCTAGGGGTCATAGTCTCAGGGGTTCCATCAGGCTCTATCAGACCAGCAAACCTGGCCCCCCCCCCTTTTTTTTCCAAATGATTTTTTGTTCCACATTGTTCTTCCTCTCTATCCAGGATCTCCTACATAGATCCCCCTCCGAGTGGTTGACAGTGGTAGCCAGGCACCATCTAGTTCTTCTGGTCTCATAGTCGTATAGGCTGTGGACTGCATGGTGTACCAGTTGCTAGGACTAATTGTTTTTAGGAATCTTTGGTTTTCTTCATTCTTCATTCTTCTTTGCTCTGGATGAAGGGAGACCCATCATTGCATCTAGATGGCTGCTTGCAAGCTTTCAAGATCCCAGTCGCTACTTGCCCAAGTAGGAGGTGGAACAATGTTTTGTGCAGTATGTTATCCCAATTGAGCTTGATATCCCCTGTGACTACAGTCCTGATCCCACAGGTTCAACTACTTGCTCCCTCTGCGTAGCTGGCTGTGACCAAGAAGTGACTACAACCTTGTCCCTTGTCAGCTTTACTATATCCCTGGGAATTCTTACAGAACATACAAATACACTGGTAGAACCATTGTCTGCCAACCCTATACATGGTCTTGGGTACACTTCCCATTGCATAGACATACCTAATAGTTCAGCCTGTCCACCCATCTATCCATCCATGTTTGCCTTCATTGACAACACAGTACTATATGTGCAAAAAGGTTCACCTTTGTTGTCTGTACCTCTCATGTACTTCTCTGTCTTCCTCTTTCTCAATGCCACCATGTTGATCACTCACATTTGGTACATTGCCCTTCTCTTCACCCAAATCAATACTTGTCTCTACCTATCTAACAGTGTTTCCTCCCCTCCCCTCCTACCCCTGGAAACCAACAAAGAAAATTTCCTTCCATATATAAACCTTTCCTTGATTTTTTACAATAATGGACTGATACAAATTTGTCCTTATGTGATTGACTTATTTCACTCAGCATAATGTCCTCCAAGTTCATCCACGTTATGCAGTGTTTTGCAGCTTCTACGTTATTCTTTAGAATTGCATAGTATTCCATTGTGTATATGTACCATAGTTTGGTTATCCATTCCTCAGTTCATGGACACCTAGGTTGTTTCCATCTTTTTGTTACTGTAAATAGTGCTGCGATGAACATGGGTATGCTGATGCTGCTTCTTGCTGTTGGTGTCACAGCTCTGTCTCCTGGATCAAGGAAGTTCAGCATGGGGATCTCTGGTCCAAAGGACATGACCTGTTCCTGGCTCTTCCTTCCTGATGATAGTGAGATTTGCCCCCTTTCCACCTCTGGGATGACTTAACTTTAAGCCTAGCAGGATGGCAAAACTGATCAACCCCTACATTATGATTCCAACACACTTTATGTGCATGGTCCCACCCCAATAAGGGTGCCATGTACCTTATTTACATTAACAAGCTGCCCTATCCCCTTGGTGGGCCACATACACCTCACATTTGCATAGTCCCACCCAAACATCAGGTGGGAGTCACAAAAACCATGACTAGAAGCACTATTTTAATTCACTGCACTGCACCAGGTCTTTCTCCTGTGGAGCTACTAGTGGGTGTCAACTGCCAAACTATCAATTAGCAGTTGAGCTCTTAACCATTGTGCCACCAGGGCCCTTAAAGAACCCAGTAAATAGCCTGGTATTAGTAGCTCCCTTCCTCAGTTTCTAGTAAAATGTTGACCCTCAAAAGAACTAAGACTTCTTATGGGCTCACTGACTCCTGCTGAACAAGATGGTGACCATGACAGGGTAAACAGTCAATACATGTATCCAGGACTGGTAGCTGCCCACTAACCCATGCTCGCTCTCCCTGCTGCTCAGCACTATTGTACCTGTTGACTTTCCTGCCTCTTTTGTGTCCACGACAGGAGAGAAAACCACCTGCCAGACAGCAGAGTAAGAGCACATTCTTCCCACAACAGAAATCTTGAACCATAAAGACAATGTGATGGTTTTAGAATAGCAATAGGTGAAGTCCTTGGGTGGCACAAACAGTTAAGCACCCTTAGCTACTAACAGAAAGGTTGGTGGTTTGGATCCACCCAGAAGCACCTCGGAAAGAAGGCCTGGCAATCTAATTCTGAAGGACCACAGCCACAGAAAATGCTATGGAGAACAGTTCCACTATCTTACATGGGTCACCATGTGTTGGAATCACCTTGATGGCAATTCTTTTTTTTTTTTTGCCCCCCTAATAGGACAGCAATGCCTTTGAGGCCAAGATTCCAAAGAATACATAAAATATAGAAAATATAAAAATGAAAGCAGGGAAAGAAGACTGTTTTCTCCAAACTGATACCAAATCATGTCAATAAGAAAAACTAGTATGGATTCTTCTTTTCTGGGGGTCTCTGATAACACTGTGGTCTGCAAACCCTAGAAACAATGAAGAGAAACCCAACACTTTGTAATGCTCAGATGAACTGGAAATTCAGAGACGAGGGCTGACATTTAGAGAGAGAAAGGAGTTTCAAAGGAGGACTGTGTTCTGTGGGGGTCATATTTCCCTCAGGATTCATACTATGATGCATTGGCAATACTCAGACTTGTCCATCTCTCCTATTATGAAAATAAGGATCCTAGTGTTTGCCTCTGACAATAAGAAAAAAAATGACTTTTTACCACTCACCCAGGATCATGGAAAATGCTTCCATTTGGCCATGTCATCACCAGTCCCATAAGAAAGAATGTACCAAGCTTTGGCTGGCTTTCTTTGAAAACTTAAATATCAATGAAATAAACATATCAAACGTAAAATGTAAACCTTAGTAAGATTTTGGTTTAAAAGAAAGATGAGACATTCTGGGACAAGTAAGGAAACATGACTTTGGGTCAGTGTCAGAGAGCTGTTAATGCCCTTTGGAATGATGGTGGTATTGTGGTTGATTAGTGGGACCTTAGGGGATACATGCTATAATATGAAAGGGTGAAGTGTCAGGATGCATGTGACTTATTTCCAAAAGTTTTAGGAAAAAAAAACACTTGGCAGGGGGCGCAAAACATTAACTACTGTTGAATTTCAGTAGAAGGATATATGAGCATTCATTGAAACTTTTTTTGAGTTCTTTTGAAATAAAATGATTAATGTTCTTAAATGCCATTGAGTCAATTTTGACTCCTAGTGAGCCCATGTGACAGAGGAGAACTGCCCCGTAGGGTTTTCTTTAGGCTGTAAACTTTATGGGAGCAGACCACCAGGTCTTTCTCTTATGGAGCTGCTGGGTGGCTTGGAACTGCCAACCTTTTGGTTAGCAGCTGAGCGCTTAACCATTGCACCACCAGGGCTAAGAAAGCAAGAGATGGGTAGGAGTGCTGCTGGCCAAGAAAACCATATTTGACTAAGTAAAGATTACAGACCAAAAAAAAAAAAAAAACCACCCTATGGGGCAGTTCTGCTCTGTCTCATGGGTTCATTAGATGAGAACCATACCTATTCCAAGTTACGTACAAATCTGATTTAAAGATGGATTTAGGAACAGAACTCATTCATAATCTGGTGACTACCTATGCCAGAAACAACCAGGATACAATGAAAGAGAATGTTGGTACATTGTGAAAAATGTAACCAATGTCACTGAATAATTTGTATAGAACCTGTTGAATGGGAACTAAATTCACTGTGTAAATTTTCACCAAGAACACATTAAAATATTATTAAAAGAATGATTGGAGAACAACAAAAAGATTAACAGCCATTTATTTTTTCTGGCTAATAAAACAGAATTTAAGCCAGTAGGAAATGCTGAGCAGGGTCCACGAAGACACCTCTCAAATTGATGAACAACTCAAAGTCATGGGGCAATGGATCCCTCCCTGACACGCCTGGGCTCATTCTAGGAAACTGGCACTCTTTTTCAGTCTCTTTTTTTCCCCTTACCATGTGCTTTTTAAAACCATAAAAAGCAAAGATGTCACTTTCAATGACTAAGGTATGCATGACACAAGCCATGGTATTTTAAATCGTCTCATATGCACATGAAAGCTGGACAAGGAGTGAGGAAGATGGTGTCGGCAAAGGGTGTTGAATGTACCATGGATGCCAGAAGAACTAACAAATCTGTCCTGGAAGAAGTACAGCCAGCATGTTCCTTAGAAAGAGTGTAACACTTCATCTCATGTACTTCAGACATGTTACCAGGAGGGAGCATTTCCTGGAGAAGGACATCATGCTTGGTAAAGCAGAGGGTCAGTGACAAAGAGGAGACGGACTGACAGAGTGGCTGCAACGATATCCTCAAACACAGCAATGACTGGGAGGATGAAGCAGGACCAGGCAGTGTTTGGTTCTGTTGTACACAGTGTCATTATGAGTCACCCAACTTGATGGCACCTCCCACCACTGCCGCCACCACCAGGTGTTCTGTATCCTGGAGACAGCCCAGTTCTCTGCTGGAGACCATCACTCAAGCATGAGGGTTTCAATCCTGTGTGACTCAAAAATAAGAGGCAACATGTGTTGAGCTAAATTATCTCTTTATTAGGAAAGCACCAACACCACATTCTTGGAAATTACTGGAATTTTATTTGCCTCAGGCTTATGACTTGCAACCAAAGACATTGTGCAAAGAAAGCAAAGATTAAGTACACTTTAGGGAGAAGGAGACGATACACATTGGTAACACCGGAGATCAGGTGGACAAAGGAAGCCATCCAACATACTATATAGTTTGCAATATTCAATAGCGTTTTCAACAAAACTTTTCTTTTTTCAAATCAAGAGCAAAAAAAATTAAGCAATGTTTACAGTAGACATAAATCTTATACAATTCAAAAAGCATTTCTTTTTCAGATCATAGAGCAAAAATGCAAAAAAATGTATATGCAGGTGAAATCTACCTACTGTACATTGACCACCTATTAAAGTTGCTTATATGTACCACAGTGTAAAAAAAAAAAAAAAAAAGGCAAAACAAACAATTCTGAACAAATAAAACCTTGAAAATTGCCTGATGAAAAATAAAATAACCAGTGGCTTTTAATGGCTTCTCCTGGTTATCAGGGTTACAAAAAGACAAAATCTTCTCATTAACAGGTGATAAAACCAGGCACAGTCAAACCGTTACCAAATCAGACCCAACCCATAGAAATATACTCTCCACCCACATATTTTCCATCAAAAGCTTTTTTGTTTGTTTTAATCTTTGAATCTTTGAGGCCCATTTGGTCACAATATGTTACAAATATTTGTGTTTGTGTATGTGTGTATGTGTGTATTTGCATGTTTTTTTTACACCATGATATCATATGCTTGTCTGGCACTATCCTAAAGCTAGTTTATAGATGAGGATAATAGAGAAATGGCCCAGTGACTGTATGACAAAATGAACTCACTGGGCCGAGATGAGGGAGGGGAAGGAGGAACGCAGGTCTGCCAAGGAAAAAAAGATCCCTGGTGATCACTCATCGTCAGTCGCACTGGCTTCAGACTGCTCCTGAAATAAAAATAAGATAAAATAGAGAAAGATAAAATCACACTCAAGGAAAAGAAGACATAATGAACCATCAGGAGAAATAATGAAATGGCATTTTGGAAATAGTCTTCTAAGCTCCTTCATTCCATGGGAAGATAGAAAGACCCCAAAGAGGCACTGACCTCTTGAAGCTGAAAGGGGAGTTCCTAATTGGAAATCCCAAAGTGAAGCCCACAGTCTGTTAGTGTTTCGTTCTCTTTCACTCTGGCATGAAAGGTTCATGGATAATTGTTCTTGGTTAAACTGTTGCTGGGTGCTGTTGAGTCAACGTCTACACATAGCGAGCTCACGTCACAGAGCAGACCTGCCCTGTGGGGTTTCCTAGGCCGTCATCTTTACAGGAGCAGATCGCCAGGTCTTTCTCCCGCAGTGCTGCTTGTTGTTGTTGTTGTTGTTGTTATGTGCCGTCGAGTCAGCCCTGACTCATAGCGACCCCTCCTTGGGTTTCCGAGGCAGTATCACTACGGAAGTAGGATTGCCCAACCTTCCTTCCGAGGAGTGGCTGGTGGGTTTGAACCGCCAGCCGTCTGGTTAGCAGGCAAGTGTCTTAGCCACTATGCTACCAGAGTTGAAACCACCAGCGTTTTTGTTAGCAGCCCAGTGCTTAACTGTTTGTACCAACAGGCCTCCTGGATTGAACCGTATCCCCTAAAATATGTTAGAATGTTAATCTCACACCTGTGGATGTAACTGGAAGTAACATAATGAACTTTCACAATGCCATCTAATGTTATGTGGAGCCATACCGTGTAGGGTGTGTCCTAAACCTCATCATCTTGGGGTTTTAAGGTGTAGCACAGACACAGAGACACAAATGGGGGGAGACAGATGACATCATGTGAGGGCTGCCAAGAAATGGAAGCACGATGGGGCTACAGAAGCTGAAATGGGCAAGGACTTTCCCCCAGAGCCGAGAGAGAGAGAGAGACAGAGACAGAGACAGAGAGAGAGAGAGAGAGAGAGAGAGAGAAAAGCACATTACCCATCTACTCACAAGAAAGCCTTCTATAGAAAGCATCTTATTCTAAATGGAGTTCACAAGCCTGGTGGTGAGGGTTAGGGCTGGACCTCGGTGGTAATTTTGAAACTTTCCCAGCACCCCAAATGGCAATGTGTTGAAGGCACAATCACACTAGCATACACACTAAAAGGCAAGATGATCTTTCCCAAAAGAAAAAGATCGGGAGATGGGTGAGAGGGGACCTGTGCCCCTCTGGGGAGTGAGAAATTCCGGAAGGCGTGGTATAAGCAGCTCCTGCTGGCAGGGCTACCTTGTCGCCCAAACAGTTAATGATGGCATGCTGGACTACTAGACTGGACTGTGCTACTTGGGATTAAATTCATTTTCTGCTCTTTACTTGCTACATGACCTAAACAAAACACACATAACTAGGTATTGATTTCCAGTTGGTTGTATGTTGAGATTGACATCTGCACTCTGAAGCTGAGGAACGTATTAAATACTATAACACACAAGAAGGTACCCATCAGGGCCTGCCTCAATGAATGTTCATGACTTTTCCAAACATTAAAAATAATAATTCCAGAGGAAATGTTTCTGGTTGCCTCCATGGGCAACTGCCTCCTCTGCCATGAGACCAGAAGAACTAGATGGTGCCTTGCCACCATGACTGAACATTTTGATCAAAGATACTATAGAAGAACCCTGGTAAGAAGAGGGTAATATGTGGAGAATTTTGAACAGAATTTCAAACTCTCAATGGAATGCAGGCTTTCTGGAGCTACTGAGACCCTGAAACTACTGCCCTAAGATAATCTTTAAATTTTATACTTTAAACCAAAACTATTCCCTAAAGTCTTCTTTGAACCCCCAAAATAGCTTATTTTAATTAGTGAAGTATGCCTGCTTTGAGCACTGGGCTCTTTTAAAGAGTGATCTGATCTCTGCAGGATCAAATTGACAATGGCAACTCAAAAGGTTGGATGGGAAGCTTAGGGGGCCAAGTTGAGGATAATTTTTTGGTGGAATAATATGGAAAAAGACAGTGGGAATGGCAGCACAACTTGATGAACGTGTCCAATGTCAATGAACTAACTGTACATGTGGAAACTGGTGAAATTGGTCTATCTTTGGCTGTGTATGATTCATCAAAGAAAGAATGAACGCCTCCAGGTACTTATAAAGCTCATGTGGATTCTTTGTACAGCACCTTAAATAGCAACTCAAGCCAGAAACTCTGAAACCATGACGATGTTTTTTCCTCCTTTCACCTTATCATTATATACCACTACACTCTAGGCATTATGCTGGGTATTCCAAAAAAAACAAACTCACTGTCTTTGAATCAACTCCAACTCATAGTGACCCCTCTTTGGGTTTCTGAGGCGGTATCTCTACCGAAGTAGATTGCCCAGTCTTCTTTCCAAAGAGTGGCTGCTGGGTTTGAACCGCCAGCCTTCTGGTTAGAAGTCAAATGCCTTAGGTACTACGCCACCAGAGCTCCTGTGCTGGTATTGTTGTTGTTGTGATATGCGTCGAGTCGGACCCAACTCATACTGACCCCTCCTTG